GAATCGAATCGTTAAACAGAATCGAAAATGGAATCGGAATCGTTAAAATCTTATCAATACCCATCCCTACTCCTGGCATGACCCTGATGCACTTCTTGGTCACTTACGTTGGCCGGATGCTTCTGAATGGATGAGAAGCTTGGAATAGAATAGAATAGAATTCAACTTTATTGTCATTGCACATGTTACAAGTACAGGCAACGAAATGCAGTCTGCATCCATCCATCCATTCCTTCCATTCCAGATGACGAGGAATAAGGTCACCATGAGGGATTTGGTTTGCTGTTCAAAAGTCATTGTTGTACATAGACTTAAAGTAAAAAAACAAAAAAACAAAAACAACTTCTGTTAGTACTGTTAGCACTGCTGCAGAAGTAGGTGATCTGCTTCCAATACCTTCAAACCAAACAGCTCCCACAGCTGACTGAAAAAGCTAAAAATATTATAATTGGAAAATGCTGAATATAATTCTCAAGGGCCTGTCCTTCCATGATGACTTTCTCTTCTTCCTTCTTGGGTTTCTGCTGCCTGAGGTATTCATTGAGCACCTGGTTGGTTGGGGACATCTTCCTGAGGTACTTGTGGATGTTCATTGTTTGATCCTGGACTGTGGTACTGACACTCACTAGACACCGGCCTCCTTTCTTCCGCTTAGCATACAGTCTCAAGGTGTTGGGTTCTGGTTGAAACCTTACATGCATGGTCAGGGGCTTTCTGGTCTTGATGTCAGTGGCTTCTATCGCCTCCTTTGGCCAGCCTATTATCCCAGCAGGCTATCTGATCACAGGCAGGGTGTAGGCGTTAATATCCCAGATCTTCTTCTTACCATTAACCTGAGTCCTCAGGACTTACCTTACTCTCTGCAGGTACTTGGTAGTTGCAGCTTTCCTAGCGGCCTCGTCATGGTTCCCATTTGCCTGTGGGATTCCAAGGTACTTGTAACTGTCCTTAATCTCTGTAATTTTGCCTTCTGGTAGTGTGAGCCTCTCAGTTCCGACTCCCTTTCATCTCTTTGTTACCAGCTGACTACACTTTTCCAATCCAAATGACATTACGATGCCTTTGCTGGATATCCTGGTGGTGTGGATCAGTGAATCGATGTCTCCTTCCCTCTTGGCCTACAGCTTCATGTCATCCATGTAGAGGATGCAGCTGATGATTGTTCCATTCCGTAGTTGGTATCTGTAGCGAGTCTCAATGATCTCATTGAGGAGTTTCAGGCCTATGCAGAACAGCAGTGGTGGCTTTCAGTGCAGTGACCCCCAAGCTTGGCATATGGCTCCAGCAGATCCCAGGAACAACACCCAACATCTCTGTTCAGAAGAGCAGAGTCCTAGGGACAGCTAAGATACTGCGCAGGACCCTCAAGCTCCCAGGCCTCTGTCAGAGGACTCGAGCTTGAAGGATAAAGACCAGTTGTAGGGGCGAGCAGGGAATATGTTTTAAATATGTGTGTGTATATGACCAATTCAAGGCACTTCTGTTGTGACTTCAACAATGAAGTTATTCTAATGGGAGACTTAAAAAACTGGGATAACAAAAGTGATAGAAAGAAACTGAAATTACAGATACTTTTGGTCTAACACAAATGATCAGTGATCCCACTAGAGTAACAAATCCCTCTATAACTCATAAGACCAGGTGTTTTCTAACAAACCGGATAGAATGACAAAAACATAACTTTTTGACTGGCTTGTCTGACCATAATGTCATATTCAAATTAAAAAAAGGAAATGACAGGTACCTTAGTGTTTATCGATGATACTGTCCTGTCCAGGTGCAGAATATGAGTCAATCCATTGAAGCGCTAGATCAGCGGTCTCAGAGAGATCTACAGTTTGTGGAGAAGATGGAAGTTCAGCTGAAAGGTCTGGAAAACAAATTCAAACAGGTGGAAGATGGACATGAGAGCAACATTGCCAGACAGTACAAGGTACTTTGCCCACATCATGAAACTGAACAATCCATCAACAACTTTGTGGTCTCTCTCTCTCTCTCTCTCTCTCTCTCTCTCAATAAAGAGCAATGAAGCATTTCAAAAAGAAGAGATCACTTGAAGGAACTGAACATAATTTACTGAGATAGAGAACTGCATTGCAGTGGTTTGTATCATATCTATCTAATAGACTCCAGTTTGT